GAACACACGCGCAAACACGCGCGCAAACACACACACAGACACAAAGAGAGAGAGAGAGAGAGAGAGAGAGAGAGAGAGAGAGAGAGAGAAAGACAAACACAAACAGAGACAGGGAGAGAGAGAGAGAGAGAGAGAGCGAGAGGCAGACAGAGACTGACAGAGACACAGACAAAAGACACGGAGACAGGATAGACGGACGCAGGGGGACAGACACAGAGATATAGACACAGAGAGACAACACGGAGAGGCCCGCGCAGAGACACATAGAGAAGCAGAAAGAAACAGGAAAAATACCGAAACACACACGCACACAGAGACACAAACACACGCAGAGAGACACACGCAAAGAAACATAAAGAGCACACGCACACAGACACAGAGGGAGGGAGAGAGAGAGCGAGAGACACATAGACAGAGACATGCGCACGCAGACGCACAGAAACACGAAGAGAGAGACACAAAGGGAGGGAGGAGAGAGATGCACACAGAGAGACTCACGCAGAGAGACACACAAACAGACAGACGCCAACAGAGAGACGCACTCTCAGAAACACGCAGAAAGACGCACGCGCAGAGAGACACACACACACAGAGACACGCAGAGAGAGAGAGACACACGAGTGACACACACGCAGAAAAAAAGAGAGAAAGAAAAAAAGGCACGCAAACGCGAACGCAGACACACGCACACACAGACGAGCACACACACAGACAGACAGAGACAAACACAAAAACCACAGGCACACAGACACAGAGCACGCGCGCACATGCGCGCGCACACACGCACACACACACACACACACACTCGCCCACACCCACACACACACACACACTCGCGTGCGAGCGCACTCTCGCGCAAGGTGACGTGAACTTCAGTGTTAAGACTTGCGAAACCAGCCAACCATTGGAAAATGCTTTGTTTTTTGTGAGATGTAGAGCAAGCAACAGAGCAAGAAAACAGTGATCCCAAGTTTCGGGTGGGAAAAAAGCAAGATAAAAGTGATTTTAGAGCAAACAGTGGGCACTAAAAAGGCAAGAATGAAGCAAACAAGAGACCAGAAATAGCAAGAAAATAGCAAGAAAATGGTGATCAACCCTCGAAACCAGGAAATCTGCAAATCACAGCGGGAAATCACTATTTTCTTGCTATTTTGGAGTGGGAGATCACTATTTTCTTGCAGTTTTTGCAGGCGACGACCCTCAACCCGGAAATCTGCAAATCACAACGGGAGATCACTATTTTCTTGCTGCTTTTTTTTTGCGAATTAGCTATTTACGGACACGTCGCCTTGCTCTATACGAAGAGAGTGCATCACCAGCATTACCAGCAATGAAGTCTAGCTGAGATTCGCTCTGGCGAAGTAAAGCTACTTCGCAGTACCAGCAATGAAGTCTAGCTGATTTTCGCTCTGACGAATTAGCAAATTCGTCGCGCGGACTCGATCCACACACTGGCATCAACAGCATCGCGAATCCTTGGAGCACAATGAGCGCATACGTGAAGGCGCGCTGCATGCTATCTGTTTGCTCCGCTCAAAACATTTAGAGGCACCCCTGCCCCGATGTTCTCACCAGCCCGGCCCCGCTTCCAATGATGTGGGAAACGCTGGGGCGCTGGCACTGCTGGGCTCCCCTGCTTTGGAGGCTATCGGTCTGACGCAGTGGATAGCAACGCATTGCTCCGATCGCTCTGAGTAAACCAGCTTGTTTGCCAGGATTTTGCATGCTTAGCGCGGGCTCCATGTATCTCAGAACCCACGATCGCCACGGGGTGGTGTGGATCGACTTGAACCTTGGTCGGAGCAGGAAGAGGTCAGTCACAGGGGCTCAGCTGAGTTCTGTTGCGCCTTGCTTACGGCGCGAAGCTCGTGCCCCTCAGCATGGCGCTGCGACGATGTGCTTGCTTGAGCTGGGAAACTAAACACCACTACTCTTTCGAACAAATGCTTCCTAGGGCTCATATCCAACAGTGCGTTGATTCAGCGTCACTTGAAAGCAGTGAAAACACGCACTTTGTCTTCAGGGTCCGCGTCTGTACCGCTGACTTCTTGGCACTTACCTTCTCAAAGAAGAGACCAAGGTGAGCGACACCATGATGCCCCAGAAGACAGTGGTGTCAGGACTGACAAGCTTCCACGCAAGGCGCGCGGTGCATTTTTTCTGAAGCAATCCTGGAAGTTTTGACCCCCATCACACATTCAAATCTTGGGCCCTCTCGGAGGTGTGTGGTTTTACACGTGTGTGATGCAGGAGCTAGAGCTGTTGAACGCCGGTGGGGGGGGCGTAATTGGAGAGACAATTGTAGTACGTGTTGAAGTAGGCCAGGGCCAGCCACTTGAAGCAATCCTTGACAAAGTTGGCGGATATGTCCTTGGGCTTTGTCCACGTGGTCCGCGCAAAGATCAGCGCCTTTTGTTGAGCAGCAGGAGAGTCTCACAATCAAGGAATCGGACACCATCGCCTCCATCAAGCCCCGGCAGCACAAGATGGGAGCAAGCGCCCTTGACAAGCTTGCTCAGCTACATGCCCACTTCAACACTCCGTACGAGTTCTAGGACACGTTTTTGGCAAAGCCAGTTCCCGGGCTGCTGCCGGAATGCGTGCTGCGGATTGCTGGCACATGGGCCTCTAGAGTCGCGCAACACAAGATTTGAAAGCATCCCAACACTGAGCCGCAAACTCGCGGACCTTTCCAGGTCCATTTGCAGCCATTTGCTTCTGTCTACCTGCAATTGTGCCTACCTTCCATAAGGCTGTGACTGTATATCGCTTTATTAGGTTCTCAGCCTTGGCAAAGCGCTTAAGACTCTTGGGCCGGCAAACGTGGAAAATGTATTACATACATCCCCCCCCCCCCACTGGGCATACATTATGAAAGGGGTCCCCAGGGGTCCCCCGTTTTTGGCAGGCGACGACCCTCAAAACCCGGAAATCTTCAAATCACAACGGGAGATCACTATGTTCTTGCTTTTTTGGAGCGGATCACTATGTTCTTGCTTTTTTTGTCAACTGTTGCAAGTGAATCACTGTTTTCTTGCTTTTCAGTTTGCTCTTAATTTTCAGATTGCTATTTTCTTGCTCCAACCCTCACTCCCAAATCACAAAAACACATATTTTAACCTCCCTCAACGGTTGGCTGGACGAAAACTCTTAACTTCAGTGAATGAACTGTGAAATTTGCTGCGCATGGGCATGGAACTGGCTACAAAGTTGCAAATGCTCACTTGGGCCCAAAATGCGCCGAACTAGGATCATGAATCATTGCAAAAACATGGGCGAGCAAGTACGCATCACGAGACACAGACACACAGTCACACAGAGACACAGAGACACACACACGCAACGCAGCAATAGAGATGTCCTAGTTCACAGCCTTCCCAAACTTGCTTTGAGCTTGTGGTATGGTATGTGCTACCTGGATTCTGCCAAGATGCTTCGGCTCCGGACCAGGTGGCACCTCATGGAAGATAAGCACTTCTTAGACCACTTGACATCACCAATCAGGACAATTAGCAGGATGTCCATCAATCCAAGCGCTGTACGCACATGGCACTTTAGAGGGGCCAATTTAGAAATTGGAACACCGCGTTTTTGCCGAGTTGCTTGCTGCTCTACATGCCTTGGATCAAGGCATGCACAGACACATTTCAACGAGTGTCATCATCTTGCTGTACAACACAATACTTCGCTGTGAGCACAGTCACACCTTGCAGACAAAACAGTCGGGTCTTGATAGAATCTGCCAGGTTGCTTGTCCTGCCAGGATTTGAAGCGATCCATTACGTCAAAGAGCTCAGTACAGGGCATGTGGCTGCCCAGCTTCCGACGCAGGCGCTGGCACACGCGTCTCCTGGGTTGAGTGGAAGCGTCTACTGCCCCCCCAAAAATGCTTAAGCAAAGTTGGAGGCATCCACAATTCCTCTGCCGTATAGTAAGGTTTGGAACTTTTGGGACCCATCAAACGCGTGGTCTGCGCTTGGTTTGTTCGAAAAGGATTGACAACTCTTCCGATCCAGCTTGACGCGCTTGCCGCTTGCTCCGAGCCTTTGTGTCCTGCAGGCGCCTGGGGAACTTGCAGCAATAGCCCACCTGCATCCAGTAGCCAACCACAAACGCGGATCAACCACAAACGTATTAATTGCAAGGCTACTTCTCCACTAGTGCTACCAGTGCTGCTGTTTCCCCATACCTTGTTTCTCAACGCTTCTGTTTTGTGTGCGTGCATACATATTACATAATATGTATAATTTATATAATATGTAGATTGTTGGCTTAGGCTCGTATACGTGCCCAAATTTCCCCAGCCCAAAGTTGGTCCAGTCGTTTTGCAATGACAAAACAACTTGTGCAGCACAGCTCAATGTCACGTACAAATAACCAGGAGAGCAAGACCCAACATTGTACTTGCACCAACCATGACAGGATGGACCAAGCCTAAAGAAACCGATGGATGCTGAAAGCAGTCACAAAGCGTTTCCTTGTTCGAATGAATTCCGGGCTATGTCGGGCTTCTTGCCACCACAGGGTTCGGCCTCAAACAGGCAAGACATGGTGCGCGTTGTTTTGCACGAGCAGCCCCACACTGAACTTCTGGCACAATAAACGTCAAGCATAGAAAGAGGCCTTAGAGACCTTTACAGGCTAGGATCCAGCATCTGCTTTACAAGCGCACATTTCCCACTGCCCGCCTGAGTGAACCAATGACCTTTTCGCTGCTGTAGCGGGATGACGGCAAAACTGAACGGAGTGGACAGCAATCGGCGACGGCCAGCATGGCTTCGGGAAGCATGCTTGGTAGTCAAGCAATCAAGCACACTTGAAAAGTTGTCGAAGGGTCGACTGCGATGCCACTTTGAGCCGGATGCAGCTTCGTACTTCAGCTCGGAAAGCAGTGCAAAAGTGCGAGAAAGGACACACACAAGAAGAAGTAGTAGAAGAAGAAGAAGAAGAAGTAGAAGAACAAGAAGAAGATTGAACGAATGTCTCCTTTCTGGCCATGCCTCCACGAGCCCCACAAATGATGCACAGGCCAGGGTGCTGGCGATTTCCTGGCATCGAAAAGGGCAACGCTGGTACAAACATTGGTTTTCCCAATGGCTCGTGAGCAGACAAACTCAGGCAACACCATGACCAATCCGAACGACTGCCCCACTAGCATAGACCACTGCAGACTTTGGCTTGCGGTTTGCTGACCAAAAAAAGACATCCAGCCATGAAGCAAAATAGGGCGTTGCACTGAATCAAGAGCTGTTCACGAGCATCTAGCAAAGCCCTGCATCAGAATTCAACCAGACCCGAGCTATGGCCGAACTCGAGGCAAAGGAAGAAATGTCTTCGTTGCAGTATTCCCTTCAGGCGGTTGCACGCCTTGACGCCAAGGTCCTGCACTGGCAAGGACTCCAAAGGCTCAAGAAGTTGCCGAGCCTGGCAAGCTGTGCGTCCAACTAGACAATCCGTCCAGTCTCTGCGAGAACAAATCCGAAGTTCATTCAACAGGACCAAGGTTCGCAGCCACGCCAAGCGCGATAAGCTAAACGGGGACTTCTGTGAAAGGGACTGACACCAGAGGTTGAAAAGGTGCACTAAGAGATGGTGCCGTCTTGCAAGCCAGTACAATTCCCAACAAACTGATCAAGACTGGCTTTCTGCAGCTGCAGAGGGGTTTTGGTCATTTCGTCAATGCGCAAGTCCCTCCCGCAAGGTGATACACTGCATCGCTCTTGTTCTGATCATTCTGAGCTGTACCAGTACATATGTACAGTATGTCACTGCAGGTCAATTAGCTAGATCATCTGCGTTTCGATCAGGGATTGCTTGGCTGCATATTGTTTCGTCTTCGCCTATCTATCAGCATCGTCTTTATCATCGCTGCCGGCGACCCTAAATGTCAATCACAGGCATGTTCTCTGCAACATGCCACAAGGACTTGTCAGCACTGGGAGAGGACATGGTTACTGAGTGGACATTGGCAGTCAACGCTTCAGCTTTAACGTGCTTTCTTTCCTCTATACTCTTGGTGCAAACAAGAGCACCAACCGCCGCAGCCGAATGTGACCACAAAGGCACAACATCACTGTCAAACAAATGCACAACTCCTTGGTGCTGGTCTTTCGCGTTGCCACTTTCGCATGGTTAATGGATCTCCCTCCAGCCTCGGCTAAAGTCCATCCACCAGGCCGCCCAAAGAGCGCCATGAGCGCGTCCACGGCAATCCGCACTGCCTGGCGGTGAGGCGAACGTGCTTGTCAGCACCCTAAACCTTTTGACGAATGTGTTTGCACCTTGGTGCTCCAGCGCAGATTTGGGCTCAAGGAACTAATTGCAGGGCAACAGCACGCTCTGAACGCCTGGATAATACTCAGGATGAGCAAAAGCCGTTGAGTGCGATCACTCACGCCTGTCAGGATTCTCCAGAGGTGCAAAGAAGGAATCCTCTTCGACCTCTCACTTCCAGAACTTGAGAAGTAGGCAGAATGGGCTTCACAGAAGCACCGAATCCGCCTTGGAGGGATGTTGTCGTTTGGAGTGCTATAGTGTTGAGGCCTTCAGCAAGCGAGCCATTTACCATCCCTTGCTGCCCAGCTGGTATTTGAATAAATTTATGGGCAGCTCTTCCGAAGGCTGCCGAAGAAAAGGGCAATAGGATAGATGTGGAGAAGAAAGGAAAGGTGTAGGTGTGCCACGTAAGCAAACACCATAAGTTTATGTCCTAGTCCTATCCGCTCTTCAATCAATCCAAACCACCAGTGGTTATCACAAACGGTAGTCAACGATTCCCAAGCGATGGCCTCTGCAAACAACACAAGAAGGTCAAGAATGATGTGTATCCAAGAGTGTACTTGCTGAAATGGGAATCAGGAGGTCAATCCGTGGACCAAGGCATGAAGGAGACATCTCAACTAGGCTTCTACAGGGATTCCTTGTCCTTGCAGTGTTCGCTGGATCATGGTAGATTCACTTGAAGTACCTGGTGATATCTAGGAATTTCTCATGGAAGTTCAAACGCGCGAGTGATCAGTGAATCATGGTGAAAACATGGCGAACATACAACAACCCAAGCCCAACACGCGGTCCATGATTACGGACGGCGTTGAAAGGAGCTACCAGGCTCAAAGTCCTGCGAGCTTGGACACAGATATCGCTCATCTCATGCTTATCGTATGCAAATGTGTGCAATCTGCTCGGTCCGTGCCCACCTGCTCGTCCTGGCGCGAGCAGGCCAAATGCAGCACTGCCTGCAGCATGTCTTCTTCGGCCATGCACTGGCTCGCACGCTCCTGGCATGTGGTGCCCTGGACTCACCGTGACCAGTGATTTGTCACAGCGCCGTTGTGTGTGTGTGTGTGCGAGAGCGAGCGAGCAAGCGAGTGCCCCGTTGAATAACAGACTCGTATTCGGCATACAAAAGTAGGACTACAATATTGAGGAGTCCTATTTGAGCTGCAACGGCACGTCACTTCAGTGGCCCAAAACACAACCTGTCAATGAGTGAGCAGCAACATACGATGAAGCATATTCAAGAAAATGCTGATCAGAATTGTGGACTTCTGTCAGCTGCATCTGGGCTTTTACACACAAGCACTGGAAGAACCTTTGCGTGCTGCCGTCCGGCCAACCATCTTGCATTTGTATCCAGCTTTGCTCTCCTTTTTGATAGTAGTCTTTCAAAGTAGACATAATGGTGGTATCCTTCGACGCTTGCTGTCTGAAACAAACATAGCATGGACATGCAACGTCTGAACCCATTCCCAAAACCAGACAAGTGTGATGTGAAATGAGTGTAACACGAGCATTGGCAGGAATGGTTTTGCAGTTGTGCTTCTCTAAGAGCTGCTGGGGTCGGGGCTGCATTCCAGCCGATGCGCATTGGGATTCCAAATTCTTGATGGAACTAATATCATCATCCAAGATCCCAACAAACATATTTGCAACCCGGTGCCATGAATGAGTCGCTACATGAATGAATGAATTGCCGGGATGTGTCCTGATGCTCCGATCTGCTGGTGGCCGTGTAGGGTCGGAGAGAATCCTGGCACAGAATCATGACAACTATCGCTCTCGCTTGCAAAGAAGTAAATGTCCACCGAGGTCCGCTCTGCTCAGTTGATAGCTAAAAGTAGCATAGTAGCCGTCAAAGTCAGAAGCGAATCTTTCATCATGCATCTGAGAATAGCCTTTAGCTTCCCTCCAGCCTGCTCAATGCAGTCATGCTGGCTTGCTTACTGGCTTTCATTGAGCGCCACAGTCTAACCTCTCCTTCTCAGCCTCATACATGGTCATACATTTCACGAACTGGCGTATCTGCGCCATCAAGCCCATGGCCAAAACGAGCCAGCAGTGCCGGAAAGCCATTTCTCGCCGCGAGCAAGGGAATCTGCATACTTGGGCCCTGGCAAAACGGGTGCGTGGCCAGAGTGCTCTTGACCCGTTGGATGATTTTGTGGTGGGTTGGTTGAGGTTCGGTTGGCCAAGACATCTTGCCAGAAATGCCAACGGCAGCAACACCATCAAGCCAAGAAGCCACAAAAGCCAAAGCACGAAGCTAATCCACAAACCGGAAAGCAAGAAAAACGGTGGCTCCTTAAAACAAATAGCCATCTTATCACAAGTCGAGCATCTCCCCCAACAAGGTCAGCAAACCTCCGAACCCCTCATCTTTGAGCAAACAAGATTGAATCACATGGATCACATACCACTTCTGAATCCACTTTGTTGCTCTCGACTTCTTTGCCCCTTCCTCATTGCAGTCCAGTCTAAGGCGGCACCACAAATCGGTCCGTACAAACACTTGAAGCAAGTTACATAAGCCCTTCCCATACAAGGGCAATCTTGCAACCCGCTGGCCGCTCACAAATTCATACCGCCATGAGTCACAATGCTCGAGGTCAAACAGTCACCATCGAGCAGCAACACAGCTCTCCGTTCATCCATCCTGAGCAAAGTAGGTCTGCCCTATTGTTTGTTCAGCTGTCGTGGAATTGACTGGCCCAACCTCCCGACTCTCAAGGTGCACTTGAGAATGTCTGTCGTGTCAAGTGCGTTCACGATATGACTCAAGGGACCTAATTTGCAAGAAGTGAAGCCACACTAGACTTGAACATATTTGAACTAGCTTGAAGGCTTGCCCGTCACTGTTGAAAGCCTTGGTGCTGCCCAAGATGGCTATGACTCAAGGCTGATGTTGGCCCGGCTTTCACTACTGTTGCAGCAACCCCTTGATTGAGAAACTCCCCTTACCATCCTTGTTGGTCCCGATTCGCCTGCGGGTGCTGCAGCAGGACCTCCGCTGCAACATCCAAGCGCCCCGCGTGCTCCGCGCTTTGCGACAGGAACTTCAGAAGCAAGGGCTCCTTCGGCTCGGGCGCCAGGGTCGCTCTATAGGGCCACTTAGGGCTAAGACTTAGGGTCGCTTAGGGTCGCTTAGGGTCGCTGGTCTCGAACTGGGAGAAAACAATACATAGCTTTGACGGTGTTGGGCAGAATTACTTCAACGAAGCAAACCTTGTGGAGGGGCCCCAAAATTTTGAGGCACACTTAATTCGCAAAGTTGTCATGGTGCATCACATGAGCCACATGAGCCAATTGAGTCACATTAAGTCGCATACGTTAACAAGGGTCACACTACGGACAAGTCTTTGAAAACTACTAACTGCTCCCTCGGAAGGACAACGCGAATCAAACAAAGACATGTCTTCTTGAGGGCAAACATACTGTAACTACCGAACCCGTAAGTACAAAGCAAATTAAAAGGGTGGAGCTCGAGAAAGGTATTCCTGCTGTTCAAGTCCCTTGCAGTGTGGCACAAGTTGCGGGGCAGGACAGGTACTGGGGCAGTCCTCCCTCCAATTTGTGTTGTCTTCGTTTGAGGGGTCTCCCTGCCTTGGGAAGGTCCAGCAGGTCTGCCAGGACGTAGGCCAGGACAATCTGGGGCTTGCAATGTCCACGATGCAAATTTGTATGATCGGACAGGCGCTCGAAATCCGAGCCACTGGACTCTCTTTGGGCAACACTTGTAACCGTCTACCCCTGGAATCGGCTGGTACTAGCCTGTTACGCTATTTTTTCCTTCTGGTTTTGCAATGCACAGGGCAACGAGTGGTTATGTATATGTTCTCCGAGTTGCTGTGGTGACAAACACGTGTCATACTTCGAAGTCAAAGATACGGCGTGCTACTGAGCAAATGGTTGAATAGGGCATGGCGGCTAACAACTATTGGCTGGCTGTGGGTTTGGCTATCGGATGGGCCCCCGCAAATTTCTGACTCTTTAACCTTGGTTTGCAACAATTGCAGAATTTCACTTTGGCAGCTCCAGCTTGCAAGCTGCAAGTTGCCAGTGTATGGTCGGGCGCGCATATCGCAACTGGTATTTTGCACAAACGTAGTACGCAAAGTTCCCGTTGGCAGGGTCGGGGCACGGTTGGAAACCGGCGCGTACGCGGACTTCTTGCTGTTTTGCGGAAAACAGCAAAGTCACCAGCACTGTGATTCAAAGTATTGGCCTTAACGGGCTCACTGACCAACAAAGACCAAACTGGACAGGAGGAAACTCAAAGATCAAAGTCTCTTCATCATTCTTCGTCAAACTTCAAACTACAGCTTCCGCGACAACAGCTTCTTCAGGCACCTTCTGCGAGCCTTCCGCGGCCCGCATATACTTTCTTACGCAGAGGCATGCTGTGGGCGCTGCTCATGTGATCCATCTCTTTTATGTATGATACATGATTCGAATACACAATTGAGATAGACCCAGAGAGCCAAGCTCGCAGTTTGAAACTGAGGTAGCCAACAACGCGTGTGCATAGCAGCTAGCATCAGAAGTTTCGCACGTGCCCGATGCCTCGTGAGATCTCGACAGGACGCTGACGGCGCGCGAGGATTTGGAGACTGCCAGGTGGCACATGGCGGCCTTGGCGAGGCTTCCGGGCTTGCATGAAGACCGACTGTGCGTGAGTGCCACACCGACACTGCGATATTTAACCCCCCTTCCAAGTTCCATACATCATCTTGCTTAAGTTAGGGCAACCCTGTTCACATCTGCATTCGTCTCGTCAGTTGATATCCTCAACAAGACCTTCCCCCTGACGTTGTGACAGTCTTGGCTGACTGCCTACCCCAACCCTTCTCTGATGACAGTGCTGAGCAACCAAGTCCTCAACATCCCTTGTCTACATCCAGGGATAGTTTCTGACTTTCTGCTTTTCAAATCCGAGTCAGCACATGCACAGCCCTTTGATCGCCGTTTTCTGCGCGCTGCTTGCCCTTCTTTGTGGCCTGCTGCGGAGGCCTGAGCCGAGGAATCGTTGGATCCGCAGTGTGAAGCAAAATATGCTCACGCAAAAAGCTTGCTGCAACATCTGCATCATCATCTCTCTCCATCATCTGCAACAAAAGCCACTTTCACCTCTAGCTTGCATGGCAAGCTGCTCTGGTACTGGACGTTCTGCAAGTTCTGCAACCATGGGAGGTACTGCCTGCAAGCCATGGGACTTTTGTCGTGACTCTTTGAGATATGTGGAGAACTAAAATATCAGTGCCATTCATGCTTCTTGGCGGTGTAAATGTCAGTGTATTGCTATGACCATGCCCAGCCGTGCCTGGCCAGTGCTGCGCAATGACTCTGACAGAATCTTGGCGTAGCTCACGTCCTCAGGTGGAAATCTCGACAAACAACACGGTGGCAAATTGCATGCTCAATCCAAACTCAGAATTCGAGGGGAACCGCCAAATTCAACCATGGTACGTAATAGGCATCTTACGGCATCCTGTTATTCAGGATTACATCATATCTTATGGAATGATCATAGGGATATCTCATGGTATCCTGAGGCTTCATATCTGTGCTCTCTCCAAGGCTCTGACTCTCTCTCTCTCTCTCTTTCTCTCTCTGGGCGTGCCTCGGCTTCGAGCAGTGCGTATGCGGTGCCCTGTTCGCCTGCTCTGCCCGTGCGGCCGATGCGGTGCACGTGGGCATCCAGGGAGACCTTAGCTTTCAGCCTGGCCTGAAGAAGGAATAAGCGAAGCACTCACTTCAGACCATGGGCCGCAGGCAAGGATCGCCTGCCAAAACATCACTTGTTTTCGCACAAAGATGCCGACTGAATGTTGAAAAACCAGTGCGAAACCTTGCATGCGGATACATGAGACATAGCTTTGGTGCATGAGTTTACAGCTTTTCATCTAAGATCAGCACTGCGGGCTCGTAGCTTACCACCAGTGACACACCTTGGAAACTCATAGTACATTTCGCCTTCACTTTCCTGCTTTTCCTCACTTCCAGCTGCGATCAAGGTGCCTTTGACATCCAACCCTCGCGCCGCAACATCGGTGGCCACCAAAATACTCCTCAGCGCAAATGAAGCATGCGCGAACTCATGCCCTGCCTGGGCCTTCTGCAGGTCAATGTGCCCATGCGTCTCCCAGCTAGTGCACAATCGCAAGACATAGCAAGCTAATCCATATCCATGGCCAATTGCTGGACACAAGAATAGTAACAGTCCTGATAAGTGCTGCTGTCTGCGTCTGTGCAAATGCGATCCACGTTCAGGTGTGCCCATTCAGCAAACGCTTTCGGACCTGAAAGAAAGCAAGTAGGCACCCACTCGCCACTAACACGCCACCCAAAGAAAGCTCTGAAGTCTCGTCAGCTTCAGGTTCCCATGTGGCTGTGTTGGTAACTCAAATGATTCCACTATCCCCTTGATCCATACGAGCAACTCCAAAAGGAAACAGGCAACCTGGATTGTTTCCTGGATATTTCGGGCAATTCGGTTTGTACCGAACTCTAGACTGCCAGCAGTGACCACCGATATCAAACACTCTGCTTGCTTCGGGAAGCCAAGGTGCGCCTCCCCCTGGCGGAAGCGCCGCATGGCTTCCTGGCGTTCTGACTGCGGCAGCTTGCCGTGCAGCGCCACCGCAGGGAAGCCCTCCTGCAGAGAAAGACCATCCGTGGACGCAAGGCCTGGTGGGCCCGGTGGGTGTTGGGGGGAAGGGGCAAAGATGCAAATCATGGCAAGCGGTCTTCGAGAAAGTTGTGGCTTCCTTGTGGACAAGCATCTTGAGAGACAGGCATAAGAGCCGCTGCCCCTTTTGCAAACATGTCAAGCTACGCCCTCATGCTGTCCCGCGGTGTGGCTGTACCACTAGGTTGAATGTTGCTCACTCTGAAGGAAGAGTGGCACACACACACACACACACATACACGCACACAACGTAAGGCCAAATCCAAGCTTGTGCGTTCGCGTCCTCCCGAAGCCACTGACCCAGTGAGGCCGCTGTCTTCCTGGGTGCAAGTGGCGCAAGCTGTCGTTTAGAACAAGGTAGCTGCCTATAGCCCTGCAACAGTCATTCGCCAAGTGAGATTCTAAATGCTGCTCAGTCAAGCAAAAAGCAAACCAGCCCTTTCAATTACGAGCCCCTATAGACATGATACAGCGTGAAAGCAGCTACCGGCTTTGAACCCATGTCCGACATGTCAGTCAGCGGCTGTGCATCTGTCAAATCAGCCGAGCAGCTTCAGAGCGCAGAAAACGATGCACGCCTGACTTGATTCTGTGCATGCACGTGTGGTCCAGAAGCTACTTGTATGTCTTGAACAGAACAAAGCTCGGCGTTTCTGCTTTGTGTGCCTAGACATTGGATTCGAAACCAATATGCAGAAGCTCACAATCAATCTATATTCATCGCGTTTCGTCTGACGATGCCTGAACTTTGGCAGCAGCCCTGGATACAAATCCAATCAGCGAGACTGGGTCGCCTGACTTGAACAATGTTTGATGCGATGCTTAGTTGTGTTACTTTCACAATCCCAGATAATTAAACGGCATTGACATGCTGGCAACACCCTTGGACCTTGGATAAGAAGAGTGTACATCATAAATGGCAGAGATTCACATCAGAAGAGCATGCATCATAATTATAAATGATTGAGAAGAAGAGCGTACAACAGCAACTATTAAATTGATGTACTCGGAGCATATCCCGCCAATTAAAACCACCATGCCACCACATGGTGCAAAACGTGATACTTGAGTCTGCCTTGTCGTGGCCTCTGAGCAGCTTCTTCAGCTCAACGCTCTTCTCACCTCTCAGCCTGCCACGAGGTCGGTTTGGGTCGGGTAACTAAGTTGAAGTCCAGGCTTTGCGGTGCTAGCTGTTCAAAACTGGGTGGAATTTCTCCAACTGCCGCTCCTTTGCAACCCTCATGCTTCGTCTTGCTGCATCTTAGAGTTGCTGCTCTTTCGTGCTATTGCTTTCAACCTGCAGCGTGATGCAGCTTGTCCGCCGAAGCCGCGCCTGACGCGCTGCATGACGTTGTGGTTGCTGGAGATGTCAGCGTCAGGGGAGCCAACCTCAACTGGACATCTGGAGGCCCCAACTCGAGCCAAGCCTTAAATTGAAGGGTTGAAAGAACTGCAACACATACTAAGAAGATACAACGAAGCGGTCGCTGAGGCAACGGCTTTGATGTGGACTGTGCCTGGCATGAAGGCCTCCACCAACTTCTGCAATTTCTTGGGCCACGTGGCGCTGAAACACAGCACTTGCCGCTCCTCCGCCACGTGCTCCAGAATGCTCTTCACCTCTGCGAAGTGGCTGTCTATGGAGTTCTGCATTTCTGGAATGCTCCCAATGAAAATTTTGGTTTAATCCGGAGGACTGTGGTGATGAGGGGTGGCTCTCCTTGCCAAGGAAGCTGTCTCATGTCATTGTGGGGGTTTCCTCTGCTAGTAGGGTTCTCAAGTCGAAAATGAAGAGGATTTTCTCACAAACCACTAAATGCGAAGATGTCCCTATGGTTCCCTTTTCCTTCGAAAGCAGTGTGTAGGTGTGCACTCCTACCTAGCATGGAGGCCCCGCTTGGGCTCATATGACCAAAACGGCACCGGTGTGCCAGGCTTGTTTCTGCCCCACCCCCGCGCCCGACCCGCTCCAGGGCACGCAGCACCTGAGAGCCGGGGGGGCGGGTCAGTAGCATTGCAAATCTCCACCAGAGCCTAGGGACGCCCGCTGTGCAGAGTGGCCATCTTCCAAGCTCAAAGTGGCTGTAGCAGCAATGGGGCAAACTGCAGTGGCCCATTGGATTCTGCCCATCGCCTTCTCGATGGCCTTGGCCGTGAGTGTGGTGCCTTCGATGATGAGCTGCAGCACTTCCATCACTACGATGTGTTTGGCTGCTGCCATTTGCACCCTCGGCACCTGGAGGTGTGTCACGAAACGCGGTGAGGGACGACAGGACCAGGCCGCACTCCACGCTTGCCCAGAAGACATGCTTCTGGTCCGTGGTGAAACACTTCTTCTTGTAGGCCCCCGCGATCAAGGTGACGTTGGCAGTCGTGACAGGGGGAACTGCCGCTTGACACTGGCACTCTCTTCTCGCACGTTGGTGTCATGGCCCGCTCACATGGTCGCCTGAGCGGATGCCACGGCTGCCACGGCCTCCCCCGCCCCACGGCTTGATTGCGTCCGCGCTGTGCCCGATCTTGGCGATGTTGCGCCCTCGACCAAGGAGTTCTTGTCCAGGCTTGCAGTGAGCTTGGCGTAGATCTTGGGGCCCTTGAAGGCGGCTTGGGGGAGCGGAGTCGCGGATGGGGGCAATGGGCATCTCCATGACGGGGGCCGGGCAGTTGCTGAGGAAGGACTTGACAGCCAAGAACTTCCCCATCTCCAAAAAAAAACAGCTGCCATTCCGCCGGTCTCCGAAAGGCCCGCATCCCGCGACATTCCGCGCCGCCTTCCTTTGACTTGATGAGCTCGTAGCGGGTCCTGCAGGATGCCGAGTCCGGGCCGCTTTTTGCTGGGGGTGAAGGCCAACGCATGTGTAAGAGTACACGTTCAGGATGTCCTGCTGCTTCCAGTGGATGTCGCCCTACATCGCCTTCAGTCCCCAGTGCCAGCAGCTCCTCATCCAACCTCTTCTGGGCTTTCCCCTTCGCGTGCGTCTGCCATCGGCGTGTCCGCTTTCACCCCGAGCACGAGGCGCCCGTAGGCAGAGCGGACGTTGCCGAGGCTTGAGCGAGAGCTTCGTGACGCAGTCCGGAGCTTCAGCCATGGGGTGCTGGCCACCGCCCGGATCTCAAGGCTGGTTTCGTAGGCGCTCCGACTCCTCCTGCGCCGCCAATGCATCCTCCTCGGTCACCAAAGCCGACTCCACAAGGTCGAAGGAATCGGCGCTTGCTTCCGAGTGGGACATGTTCAAAGAGCGAGTGGAGGGGATTGGAAATCTTTTCTCACCAAAGAGTAGGGCAAGATTGAGCCGAAATGGCAGGCCATTGGCACCGCTACGCTCTTCCATTAAAACCATTGCACCCGGGAAAGCCCAACTGGCATGGGACATGGAAAGGGTTAAAGTTGCACAACACCATGCGTTTCTAGCCCCGCGAGAGTTGAAGAAACGTGGAGCCCAAATAAGAAACGATGTGGCTATCTAGATGACTGGTCAAGCAAAACTGCGGAGGCTGAGGTTGACTCTGAGGAATGCTTGGCATCGGAGCTGATCATTTGGAGCTTGGTTCTTGCATGTCTCGTCCAGCACTCAACGTTCGGGCCCGCCTGGTGTTCAAACCCCAGGTCCAACATGCAATCAGCTTCGTCCAAAACGACGTAGTGCACCATGGACAAGGAGAGGATGGTCTGCCAAACGCTTTTCCAACAACTTGCATCAGCTACTGCTAAGTGCTTTTCATTCGAAATCGTTAGGGATGATCCGCCAGCAGGATCGCACACAATGTTGTCACAAAGTGGCTTTCTCACTCCTCGAGCCCAGAACGTCAAGAAACCGCCCAAAGGTGAAAGAAACAGTCCAAAGTTGAAGTGGAGCTGCTGCGAAAAGTTATTTGCCAAGGTGCAGTAGTTTCGCAGTAATTGCTTCCAAACTACTGCGAAATTATCTCCAGCGCAGTAGTTTCGCAGTAATTAGTTCCAAACTACTGCCAAACTACTGCGGAATTAGGGAGAAGATCTCAGCGGCGGGAAAAGGCGTTAGGGGGGAAAGGGGGGAAAGGATCTCAACGAAAGACCTCAGGGAAAAGATCTCAAGGGGGGAAAAGGCCTTCGGGGAAGATCTTTGGGAGGAAAAGGGAGAAGAACTCAGGGTGGGGAAAGGCCTTAGGGGGGACAGGGGGGAAAGGATCTCAATAAGGAAAGGAGGGAAAAGATCTTAGGGAGGAAAAGGGCGAACTCAGGGGGGGAAAAGCTTAGGGGGGAAAGGGGGGAAAAGGGAAAAATCGCAGGGACAAATCTTAGAGGGGAAGGGGGGCAAGGGGACAATTCCAAAGGGCCACTGAACGGCGCCCTCGTAGGGCGAGACACGGGCCTTCCACCGGGCCAGGCTGGCCTTGAAGCCGACACCACACCCCAAGCACCTGCGGCGCACGGGCCGCCGAGACCAAGCGAGGCCGCGTCACGACGCAGACCCAGGCTGGGAGCGGCAGGAGGCCGACACATCCACATCCTGACAAGCCAGGGCCGCGTCCCAGCGAAAGTCATCCCAGACACTGGACCAAGCGCGGTCCGCAACCACAGCAGGACAGCTGGGCCCGCAAGGATGAACATGCCCGTGTGGTCGCTAAGCACAAAGCCAGCACTGCGCGGCCAGGCGACCACCCAACTGAAGCAGCTGGTGAGCCAAGGGAGAGCCAAGATCTTGGCCAGAGGGGGGAGCATGTGATCGTGATGATCGGGCCACCAATAGCCACACCAAAGACGACAGAGACAGCGAGCTAGACCATGAGCTGGCCGTGGTCGGAGAGATGCTGAAGCGCCAGAGCAAGGGGCTCTCGCGCCAGCACCGCAACGCCGCCCCGCACGAGCATCTGCCAGGCAAAGCCAGCAGCGCCCGGGACCTGGTGAAGACCCGGGCCGGTTTTCTGGAGGCAGAGCACGAGGGCGCCGCGACGATCGGCTTCAGCGAAGGCCTCACCGATATGCCGCAAAAGGCGGAGGGGCTGGAGCCGATTGACGGTCCAGGGTGGCGAGCCTTGCCGACACGGACTGAGAGCGGGCGAGAGGCGGCAGCCGGGCGCTTGAGACTTCGGGCGGCCTTCAAGGCAGACCGACGACCTGCTCGCGGGAGACCAGCAGACCACAGCCGCGGCAGGCATGGTCGTGACGAACCCACTCATAGCCAAGCTTGGCTGTGTGGGGACAGTAGGAGGCGACCTCCAGAGCGATGTCGTGAGCGCCAGCCCATTTACGCTGCTGGAAAGCGTGCCAGTGCAAAGGCATCATCGGCAGCAGCAAGGCGGGGGCCTCGGTGTGCAAGGACGCGCGAGGAGCTGGGGGAGGGCGGAGGACGCCGTGCGCGTCCCTCCCGCAGCGAGAAGAGGCAGGGCGATCAGCCGGGTTGCGGCGCGCAAGCTGACCGAGCGGCGCCGCTTGGTTTTGGGCCCAGCATCTTGCAGAGGCGGGAAGTCCTTGGGGGCAAGGCCATGATCGGAGAGATGCTTGCGCCGAGCCTCATGATGACCACGAACCACAGCGTGGCGGAACACGCGGAAGCAACAGCCGGGCAACGGGCAAGTTCACCTTCGGTACGGAGACGCGCCAACCCCCCTGTAATGTCGGCGGCTTGAGCCGGAGGCGTTAAAATAGTGATGATCATCGCCTTTGTGTTCCTATTATACACAATTCCAAAGTCACGTTAGGCACAGTTGGAGATGCCGGCGATGCGTAGTGATGCTTAACATCATCCTGATCATCATCGAATCATTGCCGGAGATGCTATGGATGCGTAGTGATTGCTGTCATTCACGCGGATGCTTGCCGGCGATGCTGTGGTTATAGGTAGTGATGATCATCGCCTTTGTATTCCTATTATATACACTTCAAAAGTCATGCTAGGCACAGTTGGAGATGCCGGCGACGGGTAGCGATGCTTATCATCATCCTGGTCATCACTGCTGGACATGCTACGGATGCGTTGTGATGCTTATCATCATCCTGATCATCATCACTGCCGGAGATGCTACGGATGCGTAGTGATGGTTATCATTCAAGCGGATGCTTGCTGGCGATGCTGTGGTTATAGGTAGTGATGATCATCGCCTTTGTATTCCTATTATATACATTTCAAAAGTCACGTTAACCACACATGTAGATGCCGGCGATGCATCATCTTGATCATCACTGCTGGAGATGCTACGGATGCGTAGTGATGCTTATCATCATCCTGAGCATCACTGCTGGAGATGCTATGGTAGTGATGATTATCATCGCTGCTACTGGAGCTGCTAATTAGGGATCATCACGAGGATCCTTGCTGGCGATGCTGCGGCTACGTAGTGATGATCATTGCTTTTCTATTCTTATTATATACATTTCAAAAGTCACGTTAGGCACAGTTGGAGATGCCGGCGACGCAAAGCGATGCTTATCATCATCCTGATCATCACTGCTGGAGATGCTATGGATGCGTAGTGATGATTGGCTAGTTTGGCAGGGAGGGTTCGGCGGCACCGGGCGGTAGCCCTTAAATCCGGGCGCCACGAAAACTGCTGTGCTGAGCAGTGGGCAGCTGTTCTGTCCATTTTGCTTTTGCTGTGGCTGGCTCGCGTGCTGCGCGGCCCTTGCCTTTTTCCCGTTGGTTTTCGGGCCTTCTGGCCCGCGCGCGAGCGACCCCAGCCACGAAACGCTGCTATTTACGGTGTGTTGTTGCCTTTGCGCTTGCGGGCTGGCTTGCGGGCTGCTCTTTTTGGGCCGCTCTTTCTGGGGCCTCTGGCCCGCGCGCGCGCGACCCCACCGGCTGGGGCCTAGAAAGCTGGCATGCCCGGCATCATCTGGGGTTGGGGTGGGCAACACGCATAACCTAACCAGCCATATCATAGCACAGGATACGTTTCTCATACAAAAAACATGACATGACATGGTATAACTTCAAAGAGGCGTGGCCGGCTAGAGGCCGCAGGCCCAGAAATAGGACACCAATCGGACAGACGGGAGATGTAGGGAAATTACTGGCACGAAAGAACGGGACATGCATGGAAAATGAAGCGGACATACCGAGAAAATTGCAGGGACATGAAGGGGGAGTTGACAGGAATGGAAGGGACATGACCAGGACATCTGCCCGGACATCGAGGCAACTCAGGGGGGGACGTGCCGCTGCAATGCAGAGAGAGAGAGAGAGAGAGAGAGAGAGAGAGAGAGAGAGAGTGAGAGAGAGAGAGAGACAGGGAGAGAGCGGGAGGCAGAGAGAGAGAGAGAGAGAGACACAGAGAGCGAGAAAGAGAGAGAGAGAGAGAGAGATAGAGACAGAGACAGAGCCAGAGCCAGAGAAAGAGACAGAGAGAGAGACAGACAGAGAGAGAGACAGACAGACAGAGAGAGAGAGAGACACAGAAAGACAGAGAGAGAGAGAGAGAGAGAGAGAAAGAGAGAGAAAGAGCAAGAAAGAGAGAGAGAGAGAGAGAGAGAGAGAGAGAGACACTAGCTCCAGTATAAAGGTTAGAATAAGGGTACCCTTTTGTCTGTAGAGGGGCGTGGACAGGAAGGAGACGGGGAGACAGAAAGAGACAGAGAAACAGAGAGAGAGAGAGAGAGAGAGAGAGAGAGAGAGAGAGAGACAGAGAGACAGAGAGAGGGAGATTGAAGAGAGAGAGGCTTGGGGGATCGGGAGGATGGGGAGCAGAGGGAGGGAGAGAGGACGACAGAACACACGGGGGAGGAGACAAGAGAGAGAGGACCGCCGAGCCGGAGGCTCTAAAGGTTTTGGTGTACAGGGCTCTCATGTCAATGTGGGGTACCCTCCGACCTTATCAAACCACTATATACTTTGACAAGAAACAATATTTATGCACTTGACTTGCAGTGTCGGAAAGCAACATGTCTTGACTTTCAACACATCTGAGTCTGGGCTCATGCGATTTCCAATGTACTTCCATCACAATCCATCAGCTTTCCACTAATACAAGGAGATGCCACGATTTTTGAGGAGATGCCCAACAAGATTCCATTAACTCCCATCAGGCTGCCAGAGTGAGCCTCCGAGATCCATTTGGTCAGAGTGGGGACTTTGCATGGCCACATTTTTGCGGGGGGGTGGCCAGGAGTCCCAAGTGAAAGCGGTATTGGGCCCTGTGGCTTTCCTTGTACGTTGAAACTTTGACCCGCCTGGCCAGTGAACTTGTCCGGCTTGGTGGCCAAATCACCCAACCGCCCGGGCGTCGCAACGATGAGGTCCACGGTGCTGCTCAAGGACTTGATCCTACAGAGCTCTGGGCTTTTCTTGCGGCATTAACCAACCCCGAGCCTAAAGGCCCTACCAATCTGCAATCCATTTCACAGACGATACGAACAGTACCGTCAGGCTTTTCACTTTCGGCTGGCACCGCAGAATCTTCAGGTGAGGAGCTGCTCGCCTTTGCTGGTCCCACCATAGAGGCACTGCAGCTTCACGCGGGTGGCTCTGCAAAGTCCCGCCCCGTCTTTGCCGATCTGCAAGGCCAGCTCCCGGGTGGGCGCCAAAATCACCGCCTACGTCTCTGAGTCAAAGAAGACACGTCTTGCCCACTGCGAACTGGCTTGGCACACGCAGGATCAAGAATCCACAAATCTCGCAACATCCGCTAAAGAAGCACCTTTGCATATGCACAAATGACAAAATTGAAATGGGCCAGGGGCACATACGGGCCAAAGCTGGGCGTGGCCGCTGAGTGGAAGCTCAAACACCGCTGCAGTGCGGGGAGCAGGAAGGCCAAGGTCTTGCCACTACCTGGGTTCTGGGTCAGCTGGTAAACTGAGCGCTGAGCTGGTGAACACAACAGTGGTTTGAGAGCAAGCTCTTGTTCTTGGGCCACTTGCTTTCCTGTTGACGTAGACCTACAGTCACGTGCACCATTCTTGCTTTCGCTCGGTTTCTGACCTCTTACAAACATATTCCCGTCACTTCTGTGAGCGTTAGTTGGCCGAGCAACCTCAGAAGAACCAAACCCATGGCTGTGCTCACCTCACGTGACAGGCACTGGTCAAATTCTGGCCCATGTTAAGACGTGTAGTCGTAAGTGTCTGTGCAACCGGCCGCTGGTTGTAAACTGGTTGTTGCAGAATCCAATTGCAGAAAACCGTGCACACTACTCAACAAGCAAGCGGCCTGTCTTCGAAATGCCAACCACGTGATTGCCTGCACAGGCAGCTGGCCAGCAGTAGGCTTGGATTGGACTCGGCTCCTGGCAAAAGGTGCACGTTGCTGTACTGGCAGCGATCAGTTGATACGGTACTTCCGCTCTACCTTCCAGCTATTGTTCATGATGACCACATCAAAGATTTGACTACGATCTGTGAACAACTGGACACTCAAATCAATGCCCGACTATACTGCAAACATGAAGCTGCTCAGGACAAAACATACTTACTTGCATGCTTGGACAATACCGACTTGCAATATTCAAACACATACGATCGAATATCAGCCGCCAGCAAGCACCAATCATCACGCTCCGGCGCCTTGCCTGAAATCCTTTGAACTTCGCCATAAAAGACGTGACCACCTTTGGCAGCTGGCTCTGGAGCTGTTCAAAGGTAGCCTTAGGCTGTGCAAGACCGTGGCATTGCAAACGGGTTCCAGCATGACGCCTTTCAACCTGACTGGCAATCAGGCAGACCAACAACTACGGAGGCAGTACAATGCATGGAAGAAGACAGGCAAACGCACACAACACACACACACACACCAAAAACATACATACACGCACACATAATGGGTTTCTGCCACCTTGCTGCATCCAGATGCGTTTTGCAACCCCTGAAAAAAGCCGCCGCGCGCCGAGCTGCAAGGCGTTTTGGCTGACGGGCTTGCTGGCGACATTTTTTTTCGCAGTAACCCGCTTTAGCTCCACGTTTCATGCAACTTCGGTTCTGGAACGCATGCGTGGCCTGACACTTGTTTTGCTGATGGAGTAGAATATCTGAAATCTGTCAAACCGGCAGATCGAGGAGCTTCATTAAGCAACCGATCGAAATCCGTCTTGAGGAGAGGGTGGGCGGGCATTCAGATTTTTGAAGCCCAGGCTGCAGGGGAGCACCTGCGTAACACATGAAGCAAGGTCTAAAGGACTTGGGCTTCATGCAACTGCGGTGCTGGAACGCATGCTTTGCTGATGGAGTGGAATATCTGAAATCTGTAAAGCACCAGCAACAGCAACAGCAACAACAACAGCAACGCCACCACCACCACCAGCGCCAACAACAACAACAACAACAACAACAACAACAACAACAACAACAACAACAACAACAACAACAACAACAACACTAACACCATCACACACACACACATCTACATGATTGCTTGCTTGGTTCTGTGTTTGTGTGTTTCTGTGCTTGTTTGAGTGTGTTGTTGCTTGCTTGCTTGCTTGCTTGCTTGCTTGCTTGCTTGCTTGCTTGCTTGCTTGCTTGCTTGCTTGCTTGCTTGCTTGCTTGCTTGCTTGCTTGCTTGCTTGCTTGCTTGCTTGCTTGCTTGCTTGCTTGCTTGCTTGCTTGCTTGCTTGCTTGCTTGCTTGCTTGCTTGCTTGCTTGCTTGCTTGCTTGCTTGCTTGCTTGCTTGCTTGCTTGCTTGCTTGCTTGCTTGCTTGCTTGCTTGCTTTTGTTGTTGCTGCTGCTGCTGCTGCTGCTGCTTGCTGCTGGTGGTGTTGTTGTTGTTGTTGTTGTTGTTGTTGTTGTTGTTGTTGTGGTTGTGGTTGTCGTCGTCGTCGTTGTTGTTGTGGTTCTCGTCGTTGTTGTGGTTGTGGTTGTGGTTGTTGTGGTTGTGGTTGTGGTTGTGGTTGGTTGGTGCTGTTGATGTTGTTGTTGCTGTTTCTGTTTCTGTTTCTGTTTATGTTGCTGTTGCTGTTGCTGTTGCTGTTGCTGTTGCTGTTGTTGCTGTTGTTGTTGTTGTTGTTGTTGTTGTTGTTGTTGTTGTTGTTGTTGTTGTTGTTGTTGTTGTTGTTGTTGTTGTTGTTGTTGGCGGTGGTGGTGGTGGTGGTGGTGGTGGTGCAACAAACAAGCAAATAAGCACATCAACAAACAAGCAAACAAGCAAGTAAGCAAGCAACAACAAGACGCAGATACAAGCACGCACGCTCGCATGCACGTGCAAGACGATTCCCTACACACACAAACAAACATAGGTGCACAACATAGTCAAGCATCACAACAGCTCACCTTGAACAATGTCAAAGCTGGCTTCTTCTTGCTTCAGCACCACCCCGAGTGGCTACTCCTGCAATACCAAGTGTTGCATGCCTTTTGTGTTCATTTGACAGCTCCCATGAAGTGGCTTCTCACCCGAGCTATGAAGCTGTCAGCAAGGGAGCAAGTTACTCCAAGAGGCCCACGGCTTCAAATCGGCACCGCTCACGTGCACTTCACTCACGGGAGCCTGTGAAGGCGCCTCCGCCTGACAAACAACTTGCTGCGTCTTGTGCATCAATTTCTGGTACGCAGCAAGTTCCCTAAAAGTATGTCTCCTCAATCACCAATACAATCAGTGACCATCCCTAATGCAACTGGACAGATTTTGTCTGGAGATGACGACAGAGTAGAGATGTCTGGACCCACACCCGCTGTTCATTTTGCTGGCTAAAGCTTTGACTCATCATTCTACTTCATTTATGCTAGATCAAAGGTGCTGTTGCATACCCAAAGGTGTGCATCAGCCTTTCGCTCAGATTCCAAGCAGTTGCATCGGCAGCACCAGTCTCGCGTCATTACCTCATGCCAAAGAAAGGCACGTGTGGAAAGAGCTGTTTACTGGCTTCTCCTTCGAATCTGTGTAGTTTAACGGATTTAGTTGTCATGCTGCCTCGTGCTCCGCGACATCCTCAGCCTCAGCCTGGGCTACTTTGGCCCTCGCCAGGCGGCGCCGAGCAGCACCGCTGGTTTTGCTGCCTGCCAGCGCTCGCTTCGGCCTGTGACAGACCGAGCAACACGCCAAAAGCGACTCGGCGACTGGTTTCGGGGAGCAGGCCCTGAGAGTCCCTGCCGGCTCTTTGGTGAATTCAGCGAGAGTGCAGTGTCACTGGTGT